TCTGCCCGGCTTTTTAAGCCATGGGTTAGGGTTAGGGTTAGGGTTAGGGTTAGCTCACAGCTCACGGTTTCCGCAGAGTCAGTTGACACAGTGACGGATCACCTGACGCACACACCTGTGTGGAGGTGGACGCACCTGATTGAGTGTGACAAACTCGGCGTCCAGCCCCACCAGATCGCCGGCCTGCGGCATCTCGCTGACCATGAGGGGGATGAAGGTGGCGTGACTCTTCCTCTGCTTCCGGGCCAGCGAGGCTTCGGTCAGAAGCACGCTGGCGTCGATGGGATTTTTAACTGAAACCGACACAAAAATAAAACGTCTACATGGCTGACTGCCCCGAATGGAGACGTGGGCCGAAAACCTGCCCAGGTTAAAGTCTCCGGACTTACTCCTGAGGTCGTATCTGGGGTGGTAGTTCCTCTTGGCGTAATACAGGATGGCTGGAACTTTCCAGCCCACGTCGAACTGCGCGGCTTCCGCCTTCGGCAAACACAACGCGAGACGTTTCAACTGGCGCCAAACACGCCGTCCAATGAGTCAAAATCCAAATATTTACCTTGTCGATTGGTTCTATTAAGAAATCGTTGAAGAGATACCACTGCTGGTGTGTGACTCCCTGAAAAACACGGGGTTTTCAACAAAAATATCAATAAAAAGAATAAAAATGTGACCGAATTGAGCAATACCGAGCCCCCGTTTTTGGTGGTGGTGAATCGTGGCCTCGCTCACCTCCTTTCTTTGGTGGTAGGTCTCACCCACTTTGATGTGGGCCACCAGGTTTCCTCCTGTGCGAGCATCCAGGATGTGGGGCACCGTGACCACCAGGTCATACAGAGAAGCCCCCTCCGCCTCCTCAGCAGCGCTCAGCTGGGGAGGGAAGGCGAGCGAGTGGGTCTCAGCGTCAGGAGAAGGATCATGTCTGATCCTTCTCACCCTGGTCACAAACTCTTTAAAACTCTCCCCTCTGGCAGAAGGTTGAGGACCATCAGGACCAAAACCTCACGCCATAAAGACAGTTTTTATCCAACAGCAACTGGCCTCATCAACAAGACCAGCGACCCCCACCTATTCTTCTCCCCCCCCCC